CATGAAAATAGTTCTAAAAAGAAAAAGAAAAGAAATGGAAGAAAAAGAAAATATGAGTACATTTAAAAATTGATACCAGCCAAAAGCTTATAATTTGATTATAATTTTATAATTAAATTCATAGAGGGTAAAATAAGAAAATTAGTACAAATGATGGTGAACTAATAAATTTTTAAGTTGAACTACTAACATATATAATCAATAAGCTACATTATTCACTTTAAAATTAAAAAATAATAATAAACATATAACATATGAATTTAAATTAAGAAATAATAGGGATGTCTGATTAATATAATTATTAGTATTTTCTAAACTAGAATTATAATCTTGTTCATTTTTACTATTTCTAGACTGTAATGTATTATCTTATATTTTAGTAATTTTAAATTGTCAAATTTTTACTTTGGTTAATCATTAATTAGAATTACAAAATTTTATTTGCTTGAAGATATGCAAGAGTTTAAGTTGGGGAGATTTTATAAATTTAAATAATGCATTATTTTATGTGCTATATTTTTAGTAAAAATATATTATTTTAACTATGTTATGTAAAAAAAAATACAAAAATGCACCAAATTCTAAATATCATCCAAAGTCGTGCCATTAAACAAATAAATGTTGTAGCGCCATCAAAGGCACTACCGGAGCGCTACAACATTGATAAGTTGGCACTGAGTTCTCTGTTGAACAACATCACTACGTCAAAATTGTCAGCTTTGCATCGTTATGTTCACTGTCTTCAAGCACCGCGACATCACATCTATCAAGGCTCGGTACCAAAATTGCCACTTCAATACTACATTCGAAAGTTAGTAGCGTCGTGGCATAGTTGTTTTAACTTCCAAACGATATGATCTGTCAGCGAAATGATGCGACTATTAACTAAGTAACTGTTCCACATCAGTAGGCGTCATGGTGGAGCAAAAACATCAGCGCAGTGGCGTTAGTTCATTTTATGGACACTATAGTACCAATCTTTCAAGCGTCGCATGCTAGTTGTTTAATTTGTATTTTCTTATAAATAGTCATTGTGTTATATTTTTCAAGGAAGTTCAGTCACTTATATAATTTTAGTACTTTATAGAGTACTTCTTTAGATCTCTCTAATTAGAGTCCAATTTAAGAGAGATTAGAGAAGTACTACATTCAGTGTTTGTTTGAGCATCTTTGTATATTAAGGAAGAAGAAGAAGTGTAGAAGAGATACATTGATCCTTCTTGGTGATATTATTATCTTATATTTTCAGTCTTTTATGATGTCAATGAAAATGAGTTTGCTTATCTTTTCTTCTATGTATGATTACTTATCTAGTCTTGGATTGATGATATAGAAAATATATTAAGTACTGATGAAGATTCTTGTGCTCTAAAAGTGAAATAACATTTTCAATATTATCCCATTATTTATTTAATGCATGAACATAATGACCATATGTGTAATTAAAATATAATATGATATATAACCTCGATGGAGGAATGCAAGATTAACCATGAATATTGAAATAATATGTTTGCATACCTTGACATATGTTGTAAAATATATTAGGTTCTTAAGGGATGATATAACTGTAGAAGATCAACAAATATCATTTTTACCTTTATAAGCTTGATAGAGATATAGGAATGCATATGCTCTGAATCACATTAAAAATATGAATTTTATAAGAAAAGATATGCAATTTATATTCATCAATAATAAATACTTTATTTAAATAATGTATCCATTATTTTACTATTTTTATTTAGTGATTGAATCTCCACAACCAATAATTTTGTTTTAGTAGGATAGTTTTGCAATTAGAGTAAATAATGATAGTTAATTGCTAAAAATTATACTTCCTCATGGGTTCGATACTCTATTATATTATTTTATTATTTGATTTAGCATGTATACTTGTGTAGATTAAGTTGAGTTTATTATTTTTATCCATCAAAGAAAGCCCGAGCATTGTTTAAGGCAGATAGATCCTTAAACATTTTTTTAAATCAAAATTGCACTCCATTATACTCCCCATCACATATATACATTGGGCTTAGCTTGCTATGTTTTCCGGATATGCTTACTTATTTCATTGGATTAACCTTCAGATATAAAATCCCTAACCTGGAATTTCATAGACGTGTTTCAAATCAAAATATTTCTTCTATCTATCATGAGCTGCTTCTAATCTTTTCTTGATCAATCTAATTTTCTTTATAGCACTATCTACAAGTTTAGAATCTATAAGTTTCCTTTCTCATGTTTCAAACCATGACAACGATATCCTGCACCTTCTTTCATACAAAGTTTTATACATAGCCATACCAATATTTACCTAGAAGTTTTTATTGTAAGCAAATTCAATCAATGAAACATGATCTTCCTAGCATCCACCAAAATCTAAAATATAGAGCCTCAATAGATCTTCTAAAACTTGAATGACTCTCTCATATTTCCCATCTATCTAGAGATGAAAAGTTGTATTGAAATTCAACTTCATCCCTAGACATTCCTGAATACCCTTCCATAATTTTGAGGTGAACTTGCCATCATGATCCGAAATTATAGACTTAGGAGTTCTATGCAATCTAACAATCTACTTCACATACAATTGAGCCAGCTTATCAACTAAATTAATCTATCTTATTTGCAGAAAATGAGCCGACTTTGTTATTCTATCCACAATCATTCACACCGCATCATGACCTTGTTCAAACTTGGAAACACCATGGAGAAATTCACAATGATATCTTCCCATTTTCATTCAGGAATAAATTATGGTTGTTGTAATCTACTAGGTCTCTAATGCTTTAGCCTTCACCATCTGACAAGCTTCATACTTGGAAATAAACTCAGCTACTTTTCACTTCAACCAAGACCACCAAAATATAGCTTTCATATCACAATATATCTTATTAATATTTGGATTAATAGTATACTTAGAATAATGGGCTTCTTATTTAATCTTATTTCTCATATCACCATTATCTGGAGCCTACAACCTACTACCATAGAAATCACATCCTGATTATTCACTTGTTATTATAACATTTTCCCAAATTGAATCTAATTGATCAATTTCACATATTCTTCATCGACCTCCTCATATTCTTTAATCTTGTTTTGCAATGAGGGCTAAACTATCATTTGGTTATGATTTCAGCAGACACATTAGATAAAAATACCACTTCCAATTCTAACCTCTCCATCTCCCGAGTCAACATTAACTTAGAAGTAATTAAACTAGTCGCCACTCCCACATATTTTCTACTCAAGACATCAACAACCTTGGGAGTGTGTGTTGTCTTATTCAACAATATCTAAAGAAAAGGGAAGAGTTGCTAAGCTAAGCTGAATTTGCCTTTTAGTTTTGTCTATGCTAAGATGCCAAATCAATATACTGACCTTGCTATTCTTCCCAACTACTATCCAATAAACTAATCAATTCACAAATGTCCTCAAGATTTTCAAATCTGTAATATAATTCATGCCTTATATATGACCGCTACAATTATGATAGGCTCATCTTTTATTAACTCACTCCTGCTCTCGAAAAGTCTTCTAAGGAAATTTCTCAAATAAGCCCCAAAGGTGGAGCAATTATTACATCTGGTGTCCGAATGCGTTCAGAGACCAATAACAACGCACCACATCACCTAAAACTCAATATTTTGGACTCGGTATTGCTAGGTATACATTCGCACTGTTCAGTTTTTGACCGGATGTAATAATTTCTCCCAAAGGTGCTTCAAATACATCACAAGATTTTTCTCGAGCATTTCTCCTGAGAAACATATATTAAGTCATAATGCCCATATTAATAAAATTATAGACATATTTATTTATTTGCTTCTATTGTCATGATTTTTTTTTTTTTAAATTAAATTATTTTCTAATCACAATTTCTATTCCATTTTCTCATAAACATATTTTCTAAAAAAACAAATTAAGGACAACAGGAAATAAATTATGCAATTTTGTTACAAGTAAAACACAATAAAATTATTCAAATTAAAAGAGAAAAATCCTCTGAAAAGAATGATTCTGTCTTCTAAAGAAAAACTATCAGAATGAGAAAGCAAAAAAGCTGTTCCTGTATCAGAAAAAAAAAGTCTGTAGATTCTATCTTTTTCCTCCAGTCTTGATCAATTGATCAATGTATCTCTGCCCTCCTAGCAGTCTCTATGCTCGTCTACCTTCCCTCTTCCCAACCAGGAATGTTAGCAGTAGCCTCATTCACCATTTTCACAAGGGTGACCTGCAAATAATGAAAGCCAAAATATTGAAACAGTATACCTACGGAACAGTTATTGTTTATTTGAAGATGAAGCTTTAGATCACTAAAAGTGATCCAGCCAATGTGGAATTGATTGAATCAGAACAAGTGGTGATACAGATCAGGAAAATTTTATTTGAAGAATAAGCAAGACTATAAAGCATTAGCTATAGAGCTGAGGTAACCAAGCAAACATGTTTGGAACGAACAATTATTACGTCCTCTGACCGGAGGTAGAGCTACGTTCGGCCGCCAATAACATGTCGCCACGTGCTCTTACTCTTTACCGCGCGGCCCAACGACGTGACCCGGACCGGAACCCGGGAATGCTATGTTCACGCAACTCGGTATTTGCTCGGTATTGCTCGATATTGCTAGGTATTGCTTGGCAATAACGAAAAATACCGCTCTGTGAAGACCAATACCGAGCAACACCGAGTTGTACCGAGTTTTTCTAGAAAAACTCGGTACAACTCGGTATTGCTCGGTATTTGCTCGGTATTGGTTATTGCCGAGCAAAATCGACCAATACCTAGCAATACCGAGCAATACCTAGAAAAATTGAGAAATACCGAGTCATCCTGGGTCCGTTCCGGGTTAAGTTGTCGGGGCGCATGGTAAATAGTGAGAACGCGTTGCGCGATTCTACTGGCGGCCGAACGTAGAGCTACGTCCTGTGACCGGACCAAATAAAAGTTCGTTTGAAACAACATTTTCACTGCTATTTTTACGAATCATTGTCGTGCTTATATTTGATTACAACGTTTTCTACTATTTTTTAAAAATATCAATGGTGAGGAGTTTTTCATAACCAAATGTATCAAAAGAGGATAGTTGTAAGAAGTTGATGTCAAAAATTATAAATATTTAATAAAGAATTTTGGATTGTTGTAGCCATCCTGAACAAATCCTAAAATGATGGCAAGTGCTCAATAGTGCCAAGAAGTCACCATACGAAAACTTATTCTGGAATTAGAGGAGCTGTAATTCCATTGTCAAGAATATATTATTAAATGGAATCCAATTCAAAAAGCCAAGAAGCCTTGGCTACCATAGCTTCAATTCAGGAACGTGTAATAAATGTAGGTTTAAGTAAAGGAGCTTTTGTTATCTCCATTAACTCCAAGTCAATAAGCTAACTATGACTCTAGGTTGGTTCAGGGAAACTTGTTAGCAAGGATAAGTTGCAACATCCAAGGCATCCCTAAGGACAGGGGAGACAACATACCATGCATTTGAATTATTGAAGTGAAACACTGCAAACTCCAAGAAGAGAAATGTGAGAGAGAAGAAAACAAATTTTATTTCCAGATCTTTTCTTACAGCTGTCCAGTATCAGGTTTTGCTAATTCTGAACCGATTTGGGCTAAGTACTGAAACGGTTTGGGTCTAACTAGTAAAATAAAAACAAGACTATATGATTTAGGGGGTGACACCAAGCCCCATGTAACTCCAGAGCCGATAAGCTAAAGTCTTACCCCTTACATGGAATCTTATACCATTTAGCGTACATTAGTGTTTCATTTATGTAGGGTTTTAGGTCTTATAGCCCTAATGCCTAGGACAAGTTTTGTTATAACTCATTTATATATAAGCTCATTAACACATACATCAAGATGATAATGCAAACAATACCCACATATCGATTGGAACCCGAGATGGTCTAACCTAGGTCATCAACCATATTGCCCAATCAATCAAGTTGACATCTAAAAATTACCTTGAACAGGGTATTTTTGTTAAGTTATTTTGAGAGAGATCTTGAAAGTCTTGCTTGAGTATGTTGATTTGCTAAATAGAAATGATACGTTTCAAAAGTTGCCACATAGATGTTTAAATGATTTTGCAAATCAGGCCCCAGAAAGCATTTTAATTATTTAGGTCATGGATGAGAAAGCATGACGATATATACTTTGCTTACATATAAACACTGCTGTTGCTAGGTCTCAAGTCCTAGATCAGAAAAATGAAGGGTTGCGTTAGGTAGTCGACAACCAACATAAAATTTGTCGATAAATCATGACATTTTCTAAAAGATGGTAGTGACACCTGCAATGCTTTACGGTGCAAAATGTTGGCCATTAAAAGAGAAGCATAATATTAAGTTAAGTGTTGCAAAGATGAGGATGCTTAGGTGGATGGTGGTTTTACTCTTAGAGAAATGATACGAAATGAGAATATATGTGAAAAGGTTGTAGTTGCTCCAATGGAATATAAGATTAGAGAGAGTCGTCTTACATGGTTTGGTCACATAAAACGGCGGTCTTCCGATGACCCGGTTAGGAAAGTAGATGTTTTGAATTTGACTTATGTTAAGAAAGGTAGATGTAGACCTAAAAATACTTAGTTAGAAAATATTAGAAATGATCTTTCTTTGTTAAATTTATATGAGAATTTGACTCTTAACTGGACATAATGGAGAAAAAAGATTCATGTAGCATACCCCACATGGTGGGATAAAGGCTTGTTGTTGTTGTAAATTTTTTTTTTTGCTTCCAAGACACATCAAATTTATATTAGAGCAAGGTTTTGGAGAAATGATAACAAAGAAGGTGGATGTTTGAACGCAAAGTGGAGCAAATTAAATCCCATATGGAGAAGTTCTCAACCATCGAAGGAAGATTTTTAGTCATGGAGAATTAAATGGAGAGCAATCAAAACTCTATTGATGCTTCTGATTGCTAAACCTAATCAAGATTTGACAAGGATTTCCTTGGCTGTATCTAAGAGAAAGGAGATCAGATAAAATGAGTTGGATAATGAGAGTTTCTATCATTAAGAGCCACCTTTTTATTTAAGAGCCACCTCCTAGGGCTCTGATAAGGGATGGATCAGGGTTTCCGAATGGAGGGAAAACAAGGAGGGAATTTTGTGGTGGAGGTGGGGGGGGTGGCTGACCACTATGAGATGCATTTCTGGTAAGGGGAGTGGGCGACCGAAGATGGAGGGAGTCGAGCTGAGCCATGGGGATCGGATCATGCAAGAAGGGTGGAAGAAAGGTGAGATTCCCACCCTCGATACACCAGGGAAATATGGAGGGATCACAATAACTGCTACACAACAGGAGGAAGAAGTTATTGGGCGGCGGTGGCAATTCTAGGGTGAGAAAGTTGAAGATGTGAAGGATTGGGGAGAAGAAGAATGAGAAATCAATAGGTGATACACAAGCTCCTTCCAAGAATAAACTAATCAACAAGGAGAAAGATGCGAATGAAGAGGGCAAAGTAATAAACTTGCAAAGCCAAGCTGATGGTGTTGATCAAAACTTAAGTCTTGTGCAAAGCGATTCAACCGAGACATCCACATCCCAAAACCTCTATTTTTAGAATCCAAAAGCGAAGATGGAAAAGACATCGAAACCAAGTCAACATCCGAGAATGAAAGAAAATCAATGAAAGCACATTTGGTTATTACTGGTATGAGTATTTTTGAAGATGGAAACGTTGAGGTTGAAACATAGAGGATGCAACTAATACAGAGTTCTCAAAGGGCAAAATTTACATCGAATTGATTAAGCTGAAAAGGGATGAAATTCATATGGAAATAGTTTCTCTGCTTCTTCAAAACCTAGAGAATTGATTTGTGGTCTTAGAAGGCAACGATGAGATTATAGACAAGAAGGATCTAGCAGATCATGATATGGAAGAACTGCATTGTCCATTCCGAAAAGGAAAACTAGAGGATGAAACTGATATCAATTTTTTTAGTAGTCAATTGATTATTTAAGTAATCAAATTAAAATGCTAAAAAAACAAATCCCAGTTACAAAATAGGAGCTTGAGGAGCATTATAAAGTAGTAAACATTGAGATTGATAGTTTCATCCTAAAACATTTTTTTTGTTGAATTGACTGAAAAGAATCTATTTCTTTCTAAAGATTGTGGAAAGTACATGGAGAAAGTGAAGCATGCAGATTTTTTTTTTTAACTCAAACAAGAATGGGCCACTCAGAGAGACGAAGCTAATTATACCGTCGGACCGTAATGTGAAACTTATGGAAGGAATTCATGTGATGGTGATGAAAACATACGACACTAAGAAGATTTGTGAATCATACGATGCCAAGGACTATGAGATTTCAAATGATTGTTATAATAATATTTTACAAATTATTTTAAATGAAATTCCAAAGCTGCAGGCTATTATTCCAATTACCAATGGTGAAATCCATCATTTTCAATTTGAGAAACCATATTCTTTCACATTTTTAGAGCAACTTGCACTGATATTGGTGGATCTTAGAGCACAAAATAAATTGCTTGAGCAAGAATTTGTTTTGAAAAATAAAGAAATTGTTAACCTCCAAAGAGAAAATTACGAAAGTAGTGGAGATAACTAAGCAGTTGCATAAGGACATTAAAGCTAACAAACAGCGGGAGGAAATGCTAAATGTAGGCAGTGGCGGAGCCAGGAACTTCTTTTAGGGGGGCACAATTTTTTTTAAGAAATTCATGATTGCATGGGAGACATGGACCTCTATGCAAGTACAACCTTCAAACTTGATATTGAATATTAGAAATATATTCATTAATAGAATTTCACAAACCATAATCAGATGGATGATTTTTTAAATCTACTTCCAAATCTTTTGATAATTCTTTTACTATGCAACTTCTTTTCTTATTTTGCTCTTCGTCACTTTTTTTTTTCTTACCTAAAGTCATCGATAAGCTTGATTTTGAAAACTTCTTAAAATATCTTTCTATAAAATTTATGTCAATTTGGATTACCTAAACAAGAAAGTAATAATCTAGTCATTATTTTGACAAAGAAACATTTTATCAAACACCACAAGAGCATATCAATTACAATTCAATTTCATAATAGGATAAACAAAACATGACTAAAAAACTAATATGAACTTCATTTTTCATCAGGAAGTCAATTTTTTCTCCAATCACACATTAAAAATCTTAACAGGAACGGTCGAGAAAAAAGGACTAAATTAAAAAAAAAATGATTCATGGCAGATTCGTTACTTGGTAGAAGTTTATTTATCTAAAATATCGCTAAATAAAAAAATTAAAAAAAAATGTCCAAATGTGGCAGAAAAGGATGATTTACTTCTTCCAAGAGAAGAAATGTGGAGGTCAAAACTGCATTTGTTCAGCTTTAAAGCACGTGAGGGCTGAAATTGGAGACCCTATATTGAAATAAATCAGCTTTTTTAGAGGGGGGGGAGGGGCACGTGCCCCTCCTTGCCCCCCCACCCCACCCCACCCAGGAATGTAGGATTGGAGAGAATGTGTGACAAATTATCGGATTTACAAGAAGCTTGTCATATATCTCAGAGTGAAATCTCAAAATTGCTCAAGGAAAATGAATCGTCGTCAAAGAAGTTGTATGATTTAAGTGAACAAAATGAAGCATGGAGAGAAAAAATGATGATATCCTTAAAAAAAACTATTGTTCAAGATCTCCTCTCATTGATTTTCAGGAGTTGAATTACTGAAAAATCTTTTGATATGCAGTGGTTAATTAGTGATGTAAACTATATTTAAAGGATCACAAATGATCTAAGCCAGAAGATCAGAGTAATTAATGAAAGCATGAGAACTCTTGAAGTTGAAATCATGCATCTTAAGGAGTGCCAAACCCACATAGTGTTTTTTGAAAATAAAATCCAACAAGCAAGAAATAGACTGGGGCGGGAAACTTCTAGAGAAGAGATACATACTATACAGTTCAGGCAAGTTTCAAGGCATCCAAAACTCATAACTGCCTCTAGCTCGTGATGGTTGTAAGCAGATGATCAATAGGACCAAGTTGATTAGAAATGCATTAGAGAAGAATTGGTTTTCAACATTAGAAGAAGAAAATTTCTGCAAAGATTATGAGATTTGTGAGTTTGAAAACCCAATCAAATGTTGGAAGAGGAATTTTATGAATTGCATGGAGTGGAGGCAAATAGAACCCAGGAGACCAACTTGGCATCTGAACTCCATGTATCAATTGACGAATGCAAATCCAACAAAGTAGAATTTGCAAAGTTCCTACATAACCTTCATGTTTTATCATTCATAGAATTGATATTTAAGGAGAAGTTCTTTGAGTTGATGCAAATACTTAAGGGCCTTGAGACAACTGATATTGACCAAATGAAGTTTCAGTTGAAGAAATTGCTTGCAAAAATGTTCAAGATCTTAAAAAAAATTGAAATGCTTGGAAAAGAAAATAAGGGGCCAAAGGCAGAATTGAATGCTTAAGCTCCCCTTTTTGCTTCTTTGGACAATGAGATTGCGGCTCTGAAGGAAAGCACCCTATCACTGATAAATCTTCACATTCTGAACAGTAAGAGAAAACAACCTAAAAATTTCAATCAAGTACAAGGCAAGCCTCACTACTCAAAAAGTCTAAGAGCATCAACCAGAATGTTGGAGCTAAAGAAGTTGCATGCAAAGGTTAAGGTTCTTCAGAAAGTAATAGCCGATACTGAAGGACTTCTAGAGCAAGGAGAAGTTGTTTCTGGAATCAATGTGGATGATGAAACAAGAAAAGTCAAGGCATAGAAGTCAAATAGAGGCACAAGATTGGATCTGATAAAAAGTGAAGACATTAACAAAGATGTTAAATTGTTGAAAGATAGCATATTCTCTAGAATGAAGCACAAGCATATAATGAATGATATAGAACTTAATCATGTGGTAAGTGGTTCTCGACATGAAGCAGATTTTATTATTGAAATAGATGATTTGAAGACAATTCCCATCCTTCCACCTTGAGGACAAGGTATGTCTTTGGGGGAGAGTACTAACACGCCAGGGGGTCCCATAGCTATGCCGGAGGAGCTATTATTTATTATGTAAGGAATCAAGTGGGAACTATTCAGGAAGGTTTTTATTGGGTAAGGTTTTATTATTATAGGAAGGTTTTTTTTTGTAGAAGGTTTTAATCTAAGAAGGTTTTAATTGTGGAAAGTTTTAATATTTTAGGAAGGTTTTAATTGTGTTAGGACTATTTAAGGAGGAGTTTTGTCTAAGGTTTTCATGTTATGTATGTTGAGTTTATTTTCCTCTTATTGGTGTGAGTTTTCTAGCGATGGCTAAGATTTGTGGGAGAGCCGATTTACCTCTTGAATAGTAGATCAATTGTATATTTCATTATTAGTTGAATGATTAATAAAAAATCAGCCCCTACATTTGTGTTCTTGCATTTGTTGTTCTCTATTTTTCTGTTTTTGCTTCCAAAATGCATCAATCCCACATGATTTATAGGGAAACTAGGGGAAAGTTGCGATTATGTATATATATATATATATATACATATATACATACATGCATACACTAATGACTATCACCCTTGAAGCTTTTGATAGATCAATGTGGAGACCAATGGCAAAGGTAGTTTCCTAAATCATTTTTAGATCTCCGACATATCGAGGTGAAGAGATCTCAACATTGACTATCGCTAGAAGTGATGGATTGTCATAGTTGATTAGTAGGGAGTGAAGGGAAATCACCTAACCCAATAGAACCTAAAGGTCCAATGAAGGTAAACTCATATTCATGTTAACAAGATAAAATAATAAAAATAAAATAAAATAAAATAAAGATTCATGTTAACAAGATGGCCATAATTGGGCATATTAAGTGAATGTCGCTACCTTCCATTACCCTCAAATGATTCATAAGACAACCGAGAAATATATCCATCTAAATACAATGTCAATGGCCATCAAGCATAGAACCTTCTCTAGTGCCATATGGATGAAGGTTTCCAAAGACAAGTTCCAAAAGCATCAATATGGTTTGTGGCACAAGTGGAGATGGAGACTAACAACAACACTGACAAAGGCATCATCGAAGATTTCTAGGGCATCCACATTAGAGGGAGAGAACGTGAGGTCGAAAAGAAGAGAAATTACACCCCTGGTTTCTAATCATATTGAATAGGTGGAATTATGTATGGGAGCTAGTTTAAGTGATTTGATATCAATGTAAACTCTTGTTGGAATCACCTCAAGATCAACAAGAATTTTAAGAAAACCAAAGAAATCTAAGATACATATTAAACAAGGATTCACATTCTACCCGATCATAGACAAGGATTGATATGGTCCACAAAGGAAATGAAGATACAATAATAATCTAATTATCAAAGATATTTTTGCTTATTTAAGAAAAGGGATAAACTTCAAAATAGTCCCTGATTATTGTATATGATAAATTCAATCTTAGAGTATGACATTACTCCAATTTAATCCTTCAATTATACAAAATTAATCCATATTGGTCCCTTTGGGAGTAAATTGGGATCAATTTTGTATAGATAAGCGACTAAATTGGAATAAATTTTATATCATAATTACAACATAAGGGATATTGCGTCAATTTTGTATAATAAAGGGATTAAATTTAAGCAACGTGATATTATGACTAAGTTGGCCACACAGTAATTATTCTGAGAACTATTTTGAAAATTTTCTATTGAAGAAAAAATGAAATCACTTAATCAACAAATATACAATGGCTATACTTTTAGAAACCTCAAGAGGTTTTCTATCCCAAAAACATAAATTGCTTCATTAGATAATGAATTGAAACTAGCATAGAAGAGTGCTATAAAGTTGGGATCACCCTTTGAAAATTTAAAGATATTGCATACAAAATGCAAGATCTTCATAGAATCTCCTAGCTCAATTCATATAATTTCAAAAAAAAAAAAAAAAAACTAACTCAAAGAACCTTGGATAGAATCAAGTATTAAAAGCATACCACACTTTCAGGAACTCCAGGAGGAGGCAAGGAAAGGTTTCTTGGTGGTGGACCACGAAGAAATGATCTCTTGTCAAAGCGCCATTCCCCAATCTTTCCATAAGTCAGCTCACCCTTTTCAAAAAAGAATTTCATGATGCAATTCAATAAAACTAAATAAATATAAGATATCTAGTTAACAAAAATCAATGAAGAAAATTTTCATCAAGAAAAAAAAAAATTACCTTCAATGTATAGTCACAACCATAAGTGTAATGGATAATAAACGTATTTGCTATCTTTAAATCCCAAGGAGGCTGACAAGACCCATTAAAAGATATTTTAAAAACAAATTTTAGATGCAATTCATGAATATAAGTCTTTCAACTAAGAAAGATATTGAGATTCAAAAAAGAACTATGACCCAAGTCAGGTCATACCTGTATCATGAAATTTTTATGAAGAATGTGCCGTACTCCATGTAATGCACTCGCAATAGCATAAGCATACCTGTAATAAACAGTCAACAGAGGCATATACTAATCAACAAAAATCATTTAGTTGCTATAAAAAAAAATATCGAGAGAATGAATAATGATCCTCACATTTCTAGCACCCATCCAAAAGCTTTGTCAGATTCTGGATCTTCTTTCATTTTCAAGGAGATGTTCATCCAAGTTGGAGCAATTTGTTCCAGTTGGGACTGAGTCGGTCCAATCACCAGCAAGCACCATTCATGGAATAACAATGTTAATTCACAGTAGATCAGAGGAAACAGAATTTATCAGTTGCAGCAGTAACTATATTCATCCGTTTCTTTGGAAAGCAGCACTCTAATTTGCAGGTAAGGGTCTCAATCAGTAATTCAATAGTGGTGCAGGACTTATCACAACAACTAAATATGTGAATCTCAGAAGGATCAAAGTACCTTCTTTATGATAACAGGAGAATTCCCAATGGGGTCAACATCTGTCACGGGACCTTCCTCTTCAGGGTAGAACTTCCTTATTATTTTCTCGTTCTTTGATGGTTTAATGTAGAAAAATGGAAATGCTGCCGGTTGATCTCCACGAGATAAATTTGGTAATGGTTTTACAAAAATATGATCTGGTTCTGCCATTAGTATGTAACTGCACATTTTTATAAATCATGCAAAATTCAGAACGTGTGATACTGAAACAGGGAAAAATGGCTTGTTAATAAGGTTGAACTGTATACTCTTCCTTAATCTTTGCCTTTCCGAGCCACTGAACAAATGCCCATGGTCTGTTTAACACGATATAACCCTGCAAGAAAAATCAGAAATGCATCATGACTCCAGCAATCTCATTAATGTGGTAAGTTCAATAAAGTGGAGCTGGGATCAAATCAATTTGGTTTTGAAATGCACATAGAGGTGGAAGCTATTTGGGCAATTTGTTTAGGGTTAGATCACCAAATTGCTTGAGCAACAGGGACTACTGGTGGGATTTTAAACATTGGAAATTTTTTTTTTGTCAATTCATACAGCAAACAAGCAGTTGTCTTCTTTATAAGCCATCATAAATTAGACCTAGAAACTATGATGAACGTGTTGACCTCCACACAAGCAAACAAAAAAAAATTAAAATAAAATAAAATTATATATATATATATATATATATATATTGTTACGTCCTGGAAAATTCGCGGTAGAGAAATATAAAGATTAACGCATAAGCTTTGTACGAAGATCCAGAACACAAGCAGATGAAAGAGATGAGGGTGTAGCGTTCATACCCATCCGACTCCCTTGTCGAACCTCACACTCGACCTTGATCTTCCCAAGTGCAGGTGATTCCTCTCTCTATTTATTAATTATAACTAATTAACACAAATTATAATTAATTATTGATTAATTATAACTAATTAACATTAATTATAATTAATTAACATTAATTATAATTAATTATTGTTGATGATTATTAATTATAGTTAACTATAATTAATTATAATTAATTGAAATTAAATACTAATAATTTTAATTAATTATAAGGATCATCATTAATTAATTACCATAACTATAATTAATTATTAATAACTATAATTAATTATCATTAATAAAATTGATCATCGTTAATAATAATTGGCTATAATTAATTATAGTTAATGAATGTTTATTTTGATTAATTTTAGTTAATTATAGTTAATTATCATCAACTATGATTAATTACAATTAATCATAGTTGATTATCATAAATTATAATTAAAATATAATATTCTCTTCAATTTATATGCCCTCTACGTCGATACGGCCGTCGCATCAGCACAACCGTCGTCGACCCTTGCACAAGTATAATGTTTCTAACTCAAAATCTTGCATTCAGCGCTCGTATCGCTCCGGCGGACCACCCTACTCGCTCTGGTAGCACGATGGGAAGGAACCCGGTGCAACGCTTGTGATGAGGCAGGTAGGCCTCTAAGTGCTCTCGTAGCATGGCAAGGATGAAATTAAGTACCTGTACGAACCTCAGTGCCTGCAGGAAAAGAAAATTGTGCATTTTCAAATAGGTACCTCAAAGACCTTTAAGCACTCTCATAGTATGGTGGGGATTGAAGAAATATGGCCATGGTGTAGCCCGATACCTACCTCTCTTGTAGCGTGAAGGGGAAGGCCCAAATACTGGAAAGGAGAGACGTCAGAAGGCTGCCGAAAATTCTGGTGAACATAGGACCTAAATTGAACATAATGGACTTGAACCTAAACGAACTACATGGAACCTAAATGAACGACGAGCTGAACTTGAATTTGAACAAAATGCACAAGAAACCAGACATTGAATCAACGAATGCGCAATCAAAATATAAGAATTAAATGATAACTTTGATCATTGAAATAAAACCAAATGCAAATATACAAAGATGGGGCTTATGCTGAATAAAGCTTTAGTATATGATGAATAACAAGGCCCTAACATTAATTAAAGGTGACGCACAATCTAATTACAATTAAAGACATGAATAGATATCACAAATCATACAAAAATGATAATGATCGATTGTAACATTTGTATCAATAATGTAAGCAAGTACGCAAGGACTTGTGATAGGAGAAGAATCACACATACAAATTGTTTACAAACAATGACACAAAGCCTTCAAATGAATATAAATGAACAAAGTTATTGCGTGAACGAAGAACTACTCAAAAAATAATAAAAATCTTGCAATTGCTGACATGCTTCATCTGTTAGAGATAAAGTCAAAGAGAATGAATAATATGACTACAAATGAATGCTCGAAACCTTTATAAGTCATCTGTGAAGGATGCTAAGTGACATACAACACTCTTATTCGTTCTTATGCAAAGAATTTGAAATATCAACAAGCAACAAATGCAAACACTCACAAGCCGAAGGATCTTCGAACACCACAACACTCTTTCAACCGGCATAAGCTAGTTAGCAAACGAAAGTCGCAGTTTCCTACAAGTATTGAAAATCAGTGTGTGATGAAAGTAGTAGTGTCCTCCAATCAACATCCGAATAAAGTCAATGATAATCTCTACGACAGTCATCTTGGAAGAGACAGTAGCCCCTATTACATCCACTTGCAAGCATTGACGAAAGTTTGTAGTGAGCACATCAACCTACTTGTAGATAAGATGCGACAGTAACGATCTCCTTACAACCGACATCAGCTATCTTGAAGATACAAGCGGTAATTGCCACAAGAACTAAAAGATATGGAAGCAGATACAAGTTTGTCAGCCAGCATAAATGGAGAAATTAATGCTGAATGCAACTCAATCCTTATGCCAAGCACCAATATACAAACAAATATGTTCACCAGACTACAAGTAGTGATGATCGACATGTAATGACTTGCAAATCAAAATACATGAAGAGAACATTGGTGAATGTAACTCAGCTAAAAACCAACATAAAGTAACAAATGAGCGTACTAAGTTGCATAACAAGCAACGATGAAGGGTACATTGCAAGGACGAGGGGTCCTCTGTGAATATGAACATACAACATGCCACTTGCAAGCAAAGGTTGAAATCACAGCAAATGCTAGAAAACTATAACAATTGTGAGCTCATACGAGCCACCGTAGGAGACCTATCACAACGTGTTATCTACGAGCAAATACAAAAGAACTGCAGTAGATATCAGCATCTACAACAAACAACGGGAGATTCATTAGTGTACGACAATCCACCCGCATGAAGAAATAAACAATTCATGGTGTGACGCCATGCCGCCGGATCCGTAACATTCATACAAGCGGACATAAGGCGTTTATGGGCTTCTACATAGAGCGATATGCACACCTAAATGTTGATCATTCAGATAGTAGAATAAGGCCAAACATTTAAAATGCCCCCATACATACACTATAATATGTATACACACAAATACAAAAGTGCACATGCAAGCATATTAACCCGTATACATATAAGAATAAATACTCGCATGGGCCCCGATGAACTATTATGGGTAATACGTGACATCTGAGGATGTTGCGTGGGTCAAATGATAAATTTAAGTTCGAGCCCAATACTTCTATGCGAGTAGATAAAAGTCGACACGGCTCAAACTATCAAACAAATATACGGTCACGGCATCGACTGAGATATTTGTTTTAATACGTTCATATTAGGCTTGCAAAGCCTATAACAAGAAAAATTCACTAATAAAAACATAAAGTAGGCAACGAACCTGATCCTTTGTCAGCAATTAGATAGAGTTGACAAGGTTAAATAAAGAATTACAAATGCAGAAATACCCCCAAAGCACCCGCATAGGCCTTGACGAGCATGTTATGAGTATACACGTAACATGTGAGGATGTTGCGCAGGTCAAATAATAAATTTAAGCTCGAGCCTGATCCTTCTATGCGAGTAGGTAGGAGTAGACATGGCTCAAACTGTCGAACAAATATACGGCCACGACGTCGATCGAGATATTTATTTTAATACCGTTCATATTAGGCCTTCAAAGCTTAAGAAAATTTACTAATAAAAATGGCAGCCGATAACAAACCCGATCCTATGTTGGCAAATAACAAAGTCGACATGGTTTAGTCGATAAAATATAATTTCCCATAGATGCCCCGATGATGGCCGTGTTGAATGCAAATCTCAACCGAAGGGGTTAATTTCAAATATTAAAAATGCCTTTCAAATGCTCATTAAATTCAACCAACAAAAAATACCAAAATTTAAAATATTTAAAATTGAAATTAATCATTAAAATGCTTAAAGCAAAACTCATCCATCCTCCGCAATAATTTGTCGAGGTGGACAAGTTTGAAAATGCACCTCAGCTCAAAAAATGGCTAGTGTCTGGTCGAGATTATCACTAGGATTCATTCTCAATCCATCTCTTACCAGTAAGGATGTAGCACGTGTCATTTAACCAACGATTTTACCGCCAAATGGTAACGCAGGTAAACGGTTATAACCGAGGCCCTCTGAACCAGGTGGTTTGCCGCCAAATAACACCATTAAATTACGGTCATGGCCAGTGCCCATATGCTCCCCAACGACATCAAATCTTTAAGATATGAATCAATAGGATATAGTCAATAAGGCACAAAGACCTCTGCTAGCTAAGATGGATTCAAACTTGTCCCATTAGAAAAATATTCACCCCAGGTATACAAGATACTCTTAAACGACACAACCCATGTCTGCCGACAAGGATCCTTATGTTAGGTTGGGTCAACTACCTCCATGACTAAGTAGGCCAGGGACCACAATGGCCGAGACGACAGAACCATGGGATCTTCATCGGGCTCATCACCATTCTCCCACCATCTAGTTTAAGTGCAAGATGCTGAAATTTTTAATATAAAATATTAAATTTTCATAGAACAAACATGCTGCTATTATACACAAGATACTACGTGTCTCTATGTATCTATTTGATAACTAGCCTTATTCAAAAGTTCTCTCTTGTTATTGGGAGAGATAATTACCTATAAGGGCTTGTGTATATAGGAAACCAGAATTCATATCATAAATTCCTATCAAAATGAGGGTGAAATATCTGGGTAGGGTCTTATTTTAAACCCAACCATCCTTTTGAAAATTTACCCCAAAACTTAATTTGTTAAAACTCACCCGAAAGAGGGGAGGCTGAGGAGTAAATTTTTGGAGCCCATAGAATGTAGCTTTGTTGGTAGGTGGTCCTTTTGGTGTCAAAGGAGATGGATATAAGGTATGCCCTCGCCCATTTGCGCTCGCCCTCAACAGCATGCCTACTCAATGTACTTGCACTCGCCCGTCGCACTCAGCCAGGTCCGCTAGTCAGGTCCTGTT